AATTTTTGGGACATTCGATGTCCTATTATTTTCTGTGAAAATCCAGAATGTGGATCTCTCTGTATATATATATATATCTGGAATCTATAATCTATCTGACTTTTAGCTGGCTGAATTAGTATATACATGTATGTAAATATATATATATATATATGCCTCCATTTGTGGGGAAGAATCATCCTCCAATCCAACATTCTGTGCCTCAGTTCCTACTGAGCACGGTGGAGGTTTGCCATGGCAAATGGCCCATTTATAACTGGTTGGTGGTTGAGCCACCTACCCCCTCTGAAAAATGATGGACTGAAAGTCAGTTGGGATGATTTTTCCATTCCCAACTGAATGGAAAGTCATAAAATTCCATGGTTCCAAATCACCAACCAGATTTCATCATTTATATACATGACTTATGATGATTTGCCGATTCAAAATGGTGATTCTTCTTCAGCACGCCAGGCCTAACAGAAGCGACGATGGACCAGGAAAGACAAATGATCACTCTTAACCTCGGCCCAAAGGGGATGGAGAGCGGCATGTTGATGGGCCATGGGAGTAGCTGTTTAGTTATATTCCTGATTGCTAACTGGGTGAAACAAACATTTGAAAAACAAACATTTGAAAAACAAACATTGAAATAACTAATAACCCAATGATAATCCATGTACCAGCTGGTTATATAACTAACTCCATGGTCCGTCATAGCTATGAGCATCCCAGTGATCCCGAACGAAAAATGGAGGGGTTCACTGAGTTCCACAAGGCCCGGCCAGGTTGTGAATCAAAATTTGGTACAACTACCGGTAACTACATTTAAATATTAACGGACTTTTGAAAAAAAAACGAAGAGGTATTGTGGACTACCTCCGGGAAGGTTTTAAATGTCACATAGCTATTGAACATGGCCATTTGTAGTGAGTTTTCCCATAAAAAATGGTGATTTTCCATAGTTTTTTGTATGTTTACCAGAGGGTATATACAAAGACTTGGGGATTTTAGTTGGTGGAATCGCGCTGAATCGCCGAGATGCATGGCTTCAAGAGATGGAGGGTTCACCTCGGAAGGATTTAGCTCGCTGTCTGAAAGGTTTCAAGATATGGCAGAGTCAAATCCATTACTGGTTGGTGGTTTCAACCATCTTGAATCTGGTTGATAGTGGCTAATAGTGGTTAGTAGTGGTCAATAGTGGTTAATGATGGTTAATGATGGTTAATCATGGGTTAATTATGGCTGGTTGGTGGTATACCTACCACTCTGAGAAATATGAAAGTCAGTTGGGATGATGACATTACCAATATATGGAAAAATAATCCAAATGTTCCAAACAAACCACCAACCAGATTAATTATATTGAAACTCAAGAACTATAGCTGGGCGCACTGAATTTAAATAGCTATCCTGTGATACTTTGACAGTTTGCTAAGACAATCAGCATTGTTTATAGATAAATCTATCAATCGGCTATCTTATACCATGACAAAGTGTAACAAATCACCGGAGGCTATAGTTACTATAGTTGGTCTCAGAAATAACAGAGCGCAGTAGCCTGGATTCAAGGTTACTGACTGAACAGGGATAACTGGGAGGAGCTTCCAGGTGCACGGTTCATGATACTTCTGGGTCTTGCAGTGTTTAAAATCTACAGAGCAACTATGTGTGGATACTTTCAGGGGCGAATGCTTGCAAGTAGGCCAATCCTAGTGTTGGGTGACATACTGACCATAAATTCACAAATCTTGGCCGCTCAATTGCGGGGCGACAAGCCCCAAAGAACACCACAACCTACATCAAGCTACCATATCCTGCAATGTCAACCCTGAATGAATCAACCCTGGCCGAAGAATTGCATGGTTACTCATAAACATCATTCCGAATCATTCCCCTACTACTAAAATCGCTAAAATGCTATGCCCCCGAAAGAGCCCAGAAGTTAACGTACTCCCCCTGGTTTGACATTGATGTGTGGCATCCCTGAGAGCTTCCACAATTTACAGCATCCAAATTGCCTTGGGACATTCATATGTCCCGGCAAAACAATGTCAACATAAGAATGAAGGGTCCCATTGGTTGTTCGTTTTTTTTTTTTCAGAAATAGATTGGCTACACAATCACCCCAACATGAACCATATGTATATGTATATGTATATGTATATGTATGAGGTATATATATATATATAGCGATAACATTTACCGTCTATACTGCAAAAACGGCCCAGTGTTGCAGGTAATTTGTAAATATACCAGCACCATGGAGCATATATGGCATATGTGTATATGCATATATATATATATATACGGCCCAGTTTTCTGTTGGTTTGTAGCAACCCCAAAACAGATAGGATTTTTTTCAGTTCAACAATTTATAGTTGAACATTACTGTTCTATCTCTTTTTTTATGGGGCTTGTTATAATCCAAACGATATCGACAGGGCCCTGGTCTCACAATCCTGTCTCCGAGTCGCAAAGTTTCATCGGGTCAAACCACGTGAAGTTTTTCGAGGGTCGTCCGGCTTGAGCCAGACTGGCGCCATGATGGAACTCGGCCGTCCATGGGATGATTTTTTCGGTGTCAAATCAAACATGAAATGGGAATATCATTGGAAAATGTGGGCAACATACTGGAAAATCATTTTGTCAAAGGTTACCCTCTGGTAAATTAACAGTTCGACCCTGAAAATAAACATTTTTCAATGAAAACTAATCTTCCAACCCCGATGACTGCCAGGGTCGAACTGTTAATTTACTGGACGGTATCACATATTCACACAACTCCCAAAAAAAAACGCCAAGACACTGGTTCAAACAAGACAACTTTTCAAACAAAGCAGTGAAACCGCATAGAAACCCATCACCACGGCATCCCGGGGCTTCATCGGTTCATCATGTTCCACTCCAATCCACTGGGATCACCATGAAACTTGATGTCATGTGGTGAAACTTCATTTGTAGGTGGTGTACCCTCTGGTAATTTAACATAGCTATTGAAAATGGCGATTTATAGTTGATTTAACAATTTTCCATAGTTACGTTAGTTTACTAGTTGATATAGGGAATCTGGAACCCCCTCTCTAGTTCCCTCCTACCGGTACTTCCTCAGAGGAAAGACCTCTTATATTCTGTCTTTGCAATTTGGACCTCTAAGTAAAACTTAAGACACTGTTGAAGACACCAACAAATATCAAGAAACACTGTTTTTGGAAGATTGACTTGTGATACCTACCCTGGGATCTAGTCAAAAAATGCCACAAAGCCCTTTTTCAGTGTTCCAAACCTAGTTTGGTCATAAGCAAAAGTGCATAAATCAGACTCTTTATGGAAATTCGGACTCTAACCTCCCCCTACAAATCCTTGAGCGGTCAGTGGAACAAGGTGAAATGCATAGTTCACTCGCAGTGATCCAATCATGGCCTTGCTCAATATCCATGAGAACAAACATCTCATCCATTGTCGACTAGCAATGCCCATTCTTAATATCAATGTTAAAATCCGATCCATTGTTAAAATCCATTTAAATCCCATTGTCCAAACATGGAATCTTATGATATTAGGTAATCTTTCATTTAACATTTACGGACAAACATACATAAGTTATATTATCCTCTATTATCCAGGATTGTCCAACCTTTTGATAATGGGATAGCATTAACCTGTTATCCAGTTATTTTCCATGATTTCTCATTTTTTTTGACAATATAGATAGGTCATGATAGGTGCATGAATATACATCAATGGATATGCCGGATATGCCTTAATATCTATATGACATTTAGTCCATTCATAACTGGTTGGGGGTATACCTACCCCTCTGAAAAATATGAGTTCGTCAGTTGGGATGATGACATTCCCAATATATGGAAAAATAATCCAAATGTTCCAAACCACCAACCTAACTGTTGCTAGCTTCCTCCAAGTCCTTCCGTATACGGTGCCGTAAAAAACCACTCCCAGCGCTGGGTCTTCGAAAGTTCGGCACCGACCCAGCTTCAGCTGGCACGCGGCACGACAGCTGCGGTATTCCACGCAGTCCTGATATCCCCAGAGGCCCATGGGGATTCCAACAAAAATATGTGGAGAAAATGGAGGTTTATAGCTGGGAAAACCATAGGAACATGGAGGTGTACCATCTGGTAAAACTGCTCAATTTCTAGTTGATATAGCCATATATAGCCGGTATAGCTGATTGATAACAGTTGATATAGCTGATTGATGATAGAAACCAAAAAAAAACGAAAAAGCTATGTAGGTTTAGGCTATCAGCTTGGTGAATTCTGTCAGCTTGACGCGGCTGGTGGACCCGTGGGGATCTGGTGAAGCCCATCCATCATCCCAAATCGGGGCGGGGCGAAAAAGCTGGTGGGTTGAGCCACCTTTTTCCCCCTAGGAAAACCATAGGACAACCATAGGAAAATGGTGATTAGTAATGGTTAATAGTGGTTAATGATGGTTAATCATTGGTTAAAAAATTGGCTGGTTGGTGGTTGAGCCCTACCCCTCTGAAAAATGATGGAGTGAAAGTCAGTGATGATGACATTCCCATATATTATGGAAAAATTAAAAAATGTTCCAAGCCACCAGCCAGTTCATGTTTATTAGTTTAAGATTGGGATTGGACCAGAAAGAACTGATAAGAAATGAAGAACACGAAGAACATAGTTTGGCAAAGAAAACCTTGATTCGCAAGGCAGCAACTTTTGAGTTTTACACACCAGTTTAGGACAAAAACAAGAACACATTTGATTAAAACCGGAAAACTTGTGATAGACACATCACCCGCAAGCCACCGCTGACGGTCTTTCTTCGGTCGAAACGCCAACGTTCTGTGGTTGGCGCTTTGGCACGTGAAAAAAGCCCTAGTATCATGTCCACGGTTTCAAGCTACCACATGCTACCACTACTACCACCTACTATCCATGAGCACCTAGGTCCACCTTCAGTTTCTTGCGAACAACAGTGAATAAATCACATGTTCATTTGCCAAAACATGTCCAAACCTCCATGTTTTAATACACTTGCTGGTGCCTAGCTGCTCACTGGTGTCGACTTTCCTAGCAGCGGTTTATCTGTTTGGGTAGAGACCATGACATGGGCGGTCTTTTCGGCTCAGGTTTGGTATGACAAGTGCCTCAAGTGCCGCAAGCTGAAACGACCGCTCAGGAAACCATGGGAATTCATCTCGATTGAGTAAGAGACATGGAGATAAACCAGCACGTGGGCGGACAAAACAGTTGAACATGAGATAGTTTCGAGTGAGCAACCATGTTGCGGTTGCTAATACACTAAATGGTGAAACCCATTGGATGCCATTTAAAACATTGATAACAGAGATATGATTGGGAAAACAATGGGAATAGAATTGGATACATCAGTGAGTAGAATTTTAGTTTCTGAGAGTACCATTCACATCAGGTGTCTATGGTAAACTAACATAGCTATTGAACATGGCCATAGAAATAGTTGATTTACCCATCAAAAATGGTGGATCTTTCCATAGTTCTGTGGCTGTTTACCAGGGTAAACCTCCATTTTCCTATGGTTTTCCTATGGTTTTCCCATTAAAACCTCCATTTTCACCACATGTTTGTTGGAATCCCATGGGCCTCCAATTGTGGGACGATTCCAAAAACTCTTCACCAATTCTACTGACTTCGCAGGGTTTTTTAATTCGTACCCTGAAAGTCGACAAATTCTTCCATAGCAGTGATAGTCCAGAATGAAGCCATAGATCCATAGGTACTTAAAGTGAGTCATTGGGATTTTCTGAATATCTATCCCATAAAATGTTCACTTTTATCCCTATTATATATATATATATCCTCATTTCCATGTTCAGAATTGTTCAGAACTTCTTTGCAGGGACATCTACAGCCAAACGCCCTCCATCTTCGCTGCCGGGCCGCGGCTCCGGGATAGGCTCAACGGTAGTTGCCGTTGTTGATGCGGTCAATGAAGTAGGCTGGGTTGGCTGGCAGGCACACCAGGTTGCCCTCATACCTGGGCACAAATAAATGGGGCGAGGCCAGGGAGAAAAGCTCCCTGAGGCCGTTTGGAAGCAGCAACACATTATCCACATATGATTGTATTTATATTATATATATAATATTTGGATATATGATTATATGATTATATACACACAAGGCGAGACCCCATGAGTCATAAGCTGGTTTATGAACCCATCAACTATGGTTACATCACCCATCAACCCAAGGTTAACCACTTGGTTTCAGTCAACTTAGCAAGCCCTGAAGTCCTGAGATGTGGCGTTTCACAGCTTAACTCTCATGGAATTTCACCAACAAAAAAATATGACCCGCCCCCAAACAAGTGAAACAAAAACTGATTGATAAATAAGCAATTATATAATAGTGGCTGTTGGATGCTGCTGGTAAGTAGTTAGAAACCCTCGATAAACGATTCTGAAGTTGGAGGGGTCACCTGTGGGGTTTGGCTCATCCTTTTCGGCCTAGGAGCTTCTTCACAATGTTCTTCAGTTTGTCCTCCATCCCGGGGATGTTGTAGATGTCCTGAAATTTGAAGGGAGAGGGAGCGCTCCAAAACTTGAGCGCCCAAGAAACTCAAACAAAAGAGACATGACCAGCGCGTGCCGAAGGAATCCGAAGGAGGTGAAAGTTGTTGACAAGCTCCCAAATCTGCTGAATCTGCTGTCCAAGGTGCTGAGACCTGCTTGTAGGGTCCATGGGTGGCGATCAAGCCCGAGATGGTGGGGAACATGCCGGGGAACTGACGATAGGCCTGATGCTGAAGGGCGGCTGGGGTTAGATGGGGTTTGATGACCTCAGGTACACGGGGTTTTACATGGTTTTGCCATACAAATCCGCCGGCCTGCCGGCGTGTTTTGTGGATGTTCTTCTGATACATCTTTAGCTCAGCTAAGCTTAGGCTAATCTTCCTCTTCGAGGGGTTTTTGCTTTGGCTGCTGTGCAATATATGTATATGTATCTGTATAAATATGTTTTGTATGTAGCTACTGTAGCACCCACCCAGCCAGCCAGCTCCCACCTAGCCAGCCACCTACCACAGCCAGAGTCATCCTCCTCATCAGCCTCATCAGCCAACACAGCAAGCATGTCAAGTATATTAGCCTTCACTTCAGCCAGCCACAGCCGAGGCAGGAGAGCCAGCCACAGCCAGGCACGTAGCCACCTAGCCAGCCATGCAGCCAGCCACCTAGCACCAGTTAGCCACCCAGAGCCAGCCAGCTACATCCAGTCATCCTCCTCATCCTCATCAGGCCACAGAGCCGCCTCCCGGCAACAGCCAGAGGGCCGGCGGAATGCCGAAGGCTGTTAAACATTGTGCCAGCAACATGAGTCTTTGCAGGATTGACTGCACGTTGCCAAAAAATGCCAAAAAAATGAACAAGTGACCTACCAAAGTAAACCAAAGTTGAGGTTTTAGCCGAACAGCAAGGTTGATAATATCCTGATTGAGTTCAAAATCAGCACGTGTGTGATGAAACTCCCCTACAGAACATCACTGTACGCCTTCAATGAGACTACAGTAATCCGGATTGCCGTCCAAAAAAAAAACACCCAAAATATGTAATGTTGATAAAACAACAATAAACAGCCCATTTGGGAATGATTTATACCACCTATAAAAAATGGCGATTTGTACATCAAAATGCTCACACTTTACCGGCCATTTGGCGGCTTCAATCCGCCTGGATGTTGGCGTTGTTGATGTCCACCTTGTCACTTCCACCCAGGTACTGGATGTTGTCCTTAGCCGTGTGCTGTTAAAAAAACTTGGACTGTGGGATGTCAATGGGGATGGATACCGGAGCTGCTGTCACCCCACGGCCTGAGCGTAAAGCGGGGAACCCCTGATGTTTGAACATCTTCTACCAAACCAACCCATCTTTGCTGCATACTTTTGGATACATTTGGTGTATGTATGTTGGTGCTATCGCCCTTATCACCAAAAACACATCCATGTGTTTCTTCATCAAAGTTATTAAAGCCCGTATTGTTTTTGATTGAATCTCTGCTAAAATCCTAGTCCTAATGTTTGTTTGTTAAACCCAAGCTTTTGCCCACAGTGCCACCAATTTTCTTGGTCGAATCCACCTTTTGTTGATAAGATCCAGTGGTTTTTAAATTGTGGTTAGCGTTTTTTTTAAATACCATCTGGTTTTTTAACATAGCCATGGAAAATGGCCCATAGAAATAGATGGTTTACCTATTGATAGCATGGTGATTTTCCATGGCTATGTTAAATAACCAAAGGGTAATGTTTGCAAAGTCAAACCCACCAAAGACACAATTTGTTAGCTCTGTTTAAACCACGAAACCCAACCAACATCGCAATTTAGCCGCAAAATCCACCCACCAGTGGCGTGTTAAAACCAGCACCACCAGCTCCCCACCAGGCGTCGTAGTCCACCATGGCATTGGCTGCCGCGGGCACCGCCACCGCTACCGCCGCAACGGTCGAAGCGATCTGCTGCTTACGCGAGGTCATCCAGCCCAGCAAAGCGCCAAGGCCTAGGATAAACTACCCAGGGAAAGACTGCTGCAGGATGGGGCTATCCATAAACTACTGTTATAACCACTAGATTTGCAGAAATATCAATATATTATAGATTATTAATTATAGTCTTGATAGTCAGTAGATAGCACAACGATGAGTTATACTGGTTGGTGGCCTTAACTATCTTGAAAAATATGAGTTCGTCAATGGGAAGGATTATCCCATATATTATGGAAAATAAAAAATGTTCCAAACCACCAACCAGCTACTGTTAAAAAAAACGCTAGATTTGCAGAAATATCAATATATTATAGATGATTACAGTCTTGATAGTCAGTAGATAGCAGAACAATATGACTCTAATACTATAGTTAGTGATGATTGGAGTAATTACCATTGACATTTTGATGGGGAAAACGATCATCAAGAGTCGTCATCATAAAACAGGTTCAAATAGGTTCAAACAAGTTCAAACAAATGCAGCTTCCCAATGGATTTTGCAAACAAATTGCCCCATGAAATCACCTTTGGGGATCAAAATCACCATCAAACCTCTGCATCCAGGGCACCAAATCCGCTCGCCAGCAGCGCTCCCGTTCCGCTGTTCGTCTCCTCCTCCAGCAACTGCTGCTGCTGCTGCTGCACCACGTGGCGAGCCGGCGCGGCACCGGCGGCCGGCGCAGTGCCGGGCGCCACGTAGGCTGCGCACGGCGCAAGGAGCAGCAACAGGGTCGCGAAGCGCATGGTGGACGGAGACGTTTTTTCGGAAGCCGCGATGACGGAGTTCTGTTCTTTTCAACTGAGCCGTAACTGTGGGGAAAAGAACACATATGTGGTGAGATTATTAAAATGCCTCTCCGACATGTTTGGCAGTCCATGTGTCTCCCTCAAACCATGGTACCTATATATTTATCGTCATCCATCCTTATTGGGAACCCTTACAATGGGCATATAAATCCCCCATGCAACTGGATTGATGACCATACCCCAAGGGACATACAATCCATGTCAAACATGTTTCTAGACCATGGTGGCGATGTTGCCATTTGTCTCGTGATCTGGGGAAGTCATTAAAGGTTTTTTTCACTTCCACCTATTTATCTATCAGTGCTCTCAAAAACGAGTATTCCGGAGGTGGCGAATCTTAGATAGCCAACAATTCAATTTCTGGTCGGCTTTTCCTATTAACATGAAACAAAATAAGCCTGTCAATTTACCAGGTCATCTATCTATCAATTTAAATGTTCATCTATGTCCATCTGTTTTTTTCTCCATTTACTGTGGCACCAAGCAACTTGACATGCCCAGAGGTCCCCGGTTATTTCTAGGTCCTGAAGAGAAATCGCCTGCGTGTAGTTCTGGAGTGCCTCGTCATACTCTTCGTTCACATAGTGAACCTGCAACATCTGGAGCTCTATGAGTCATGGCCGTAACCTCCCCCTGAAATCTGACATGTAACTGATGTAACCACCATTTTTTTGGCGTTAGAAGCTTTGAAAACAGGGCTTTCCCGAGTTGTTCATACTATTTCCTCGGGTTCCACCTTAACTGTCGGTGCTTTTTGTGTGCATGACTGCTGTTTCCCATGAAGGTCCTGCAGGTTTTGCAGTGACTCAGTGACTGTGAGAAATCTTGGGGATACGTTCTCCACATAGCCATCACATGCCATCACGATCATCACGCGTAGCAAATCGCATGACCACAAAACGAATGGTTCACCAGCGAAACTTGCCACAAATACCGCTGAAATGGGATCTCCACTAGACCAGGTCTGTGCGGCCCGCCCGCCCTTTAGGGTCTACATTTAATCTTTTAGATGATCTATCATAATCATACCTATACAAACTCCTCTAGGCAGAAAAAAGTGCCTAACCTGCCTGTAGGCGTTATTTTCTGCCGATTCCCAGAATAAATGCCTAGGCCCAAAAAAAATGCCGAGGCTGAAAAAACAATTGTATGGTCTTGTCATGTTGTTCAGTGCACAAAAATGTTTCGAACAAAATTCTGCCTAATTCCGCTTTTTTCCGCCTAGATTCCGGGTTTTTCCGCCTAACTTCCGGGTAAAAATGCCTAGGCACAAAATGATGTCGGCGCACAAAAAACATCTTGAGATAAAAATGCCTACATCAATATAAATGTGCCGAGTTTTGCAAACTTCCGGGTGAAAGTGCCTATGCGGCTGCCTAGGCGCCGAGGGCAGAAAAAAGTGCCTAAGGGTTCTTCTAGGATTCCTTAACTATCCTTAAGTATATATAGATTTAAGGGGCATTTTATAGCTCATTGACCTTGGTGGCTTATTTCATTTGGCGATGCCTGGATTCAGAACTGGCAGTCCGAGCGACATTGGCTCTCCCAAAAGCTGCGCCCGCATCCATTGCGCGGAGATGCGGCAGCTGCGGCAGCCCAGTGCCCCTTTCCCCCTGCCCTGAGCCAAACAACTGCGGGTCCAGTAGGAGATGCTGCCATTGTACGAGACTTGGACCGTTTCGAGTTTTAGATTCTGCACAATGATTTGTTTTGATCGACACCCTTGTTCTAATGCTTGACATCCAAGTGAGGAAATGTTCAAGCATGAGGATGTAGTATATGTTTTGTACAAAGCATGTCATCCAAAAATTATTTAGATTTGCATGGAAGTAGAACCAACGAAAAAAAGGATTAATGTTATTCAACCAACTCTTTTGGTGTGGAGTTCAACTTGTACAAAGAAATGCGTTCTTCTTTCTACGCTCCTTCTTCTTGCCAATGCTTGGGCGCACATCCATGTAGCCAGTGTTTTCGAGTCGTCAACCCGGAATTGCAGGAGACGGCTGCTTCCGGCTTAAAGTACAGTAGTTGATCCCCAAAAGTCTTTACACGTACCTTCTGGTTAATGTAACATAGCTATGGAACATGACCCATTAGAAAATGATTTATGATAGTTGGCCTATTAATAATTGTGAGTTACCTATTAATAATGGTGATTTTCCGTGGTTGATGTTCAATAATTATAATGTTGAATTCCCAGAGGGTAACATATCGCCCAATGAGCGAAACACTTCAGGGCCTGTGCGCCTTCAGAACAACAATTATTTAATTATATAATCTTATGTAATTATAATCCCTGATGCACCTCATAGAATAAAATAGTTCATATAGTCATATAGTTCATATCCTATGATTCATATCAAAATTCCCTTTTTGTGATACGAATCGACAAGTATTTGAGTCACCCCAGAAACCGCACAGCTGCACATCTCATTTCTCAGACCCTCCACGAAATTCGGTCCGACTGTTCTTCGGAAGTCCTGGAGCGGCGCCCATGTTTTAGCTGCACCGTGGACAACATCGGAATGATGCCGACATGAAAAATCCCTGAGATATCTCCGGGCAAGGCCCTGCAGTTCCTCATTTAAACCACGGAATTGGGGGGTTCATAATCTTAGACCATCTCCAATTAATATTAAATTATGTGTGTTTTGTCAACTATTGCGTGTAATTGCTACCCTCTGGTTATTTAACATAGCCATAGAAAATCACCATTTTTAATAGGTAAACCATCTATTATGGGCCATCTATACCATGGCTATGTTAGTCATAACCAGATGGTACTTGGATGCTGAATGCTGATCAACCTGATCCACTTCGGGATGGCAAAGCAAACGGAACCAGATCCAACTCGGGAAAAATGGCTATCTATCAAAACAGTGTTATAACCAACTATCCCATATGCTCCATGGTGCAGGTATATTTACCTACAAAACTGGGTGATTTTTAGGGCAAATGTTGGTAAATATTCCATACATGGAGCATATGGGTATCAACAGTTCAACATAAATCATAACACAATAGTCCATCAACAATATCTGGTTGGTGGTTGAGCCACCAACCCCTCTGAAAAATGATGGAGTTCGTCAGTTGGGATCATGACATTCCCAATATATATATATATATGGAAAGTCACAATCCATTCATGTTCCAAACCACCAATGAGTATATATCATTAACCATGATTTACCATTATTAACAACCATTATGGCTGTTCCAAACCACCAATCAGATAGGATCCACCTATTGGTTGGCCTCCACAGGGGGGTGCCCTCTATGTACTAATCAGCCAACCAGTGGGAAAAGGACATCTATTGCCATCAACAATCTACAGATTGAATAGATCCCTGATCCCAAGATTGATTTTAAACACCATAGATTGATCATTTGATCATCAACCAGTTGGGAAAAGGATTGATCTAATCCCATAGGATCCATGTATGGTATATATGCTAACATTGGGGGTATATTGATGATAAATGTTACCATATATAGCAGCACCATGGATCCGATGGGAATTATAGTTTGATTGTCAATCACCCATGTTTCTGCCGGCCAAGGGTAGCCAGCTGCAGCTAAGCATTGACTTTGGGGCGGCGGGGCGAGGGTGCCTTCAGCAGTCGTCCCGTTACGGTGCCAGTCGAGTCGAGAGATGGAAAGATGAATGCAAGGGAATGGGACATATAGCCAGACATTTACCCCATTTAAAAGGGATTTGACTACCAAATAATCATGAGGATAAAATCGAATATACAATCGTATACATATATATATATTGTGTGTGTGTGCTAGCACTATGTTTTTCCGGTCCGAAAATGAGGCATGCCATTTCATTTGCAGTCTGAAAAACGGACATACAATGATTGAGCATTAAATTTGGGGGTGCCCTATTCAGACCAACCCATTTGAGAGCAGCAAGAATGCGTTAAAAAAAACACAAAAATTGATGAAAGCCGTCTGATGAATCCCAAAAAAATACTCAAACACAACAAACATATACAGAAATGATACTGTCAGCAACAACAGCGTGGCTTTGATGGCCAAAAGCCGAGAAAACCATGGTGTTGATTAATTGTTGGGGTTTAGGTCAAGGTGCATGGATAGAAATGCATAGACAGCATCGTACAAACAGCAGCATGAGTTCAACTGATATGATAAGGAAGCTTGAGAAGGAAGCTGTGGCTTATTTGTCAGATAAGTGTGAAAGATGATAAGAATCTACCAGGAGTCTGATGGATATCACCTCACGCATGAAGGGAACATCTTTCTCCATGTGGCGGAATGAGCATAAGTCGTCGCGAAGTCTAGACAAATCAGTCTGAAAATGCTGTGCCCAAAAATCACATGGTGAATAGATTCATGTTCCACATTAGAATGGCCATAAATTGAACATCCAGAATTGTTGGAAAGGAACGGGCATCATATTTATTTCTGGCAATATGCCATCATATACCAGAACTTTGTTCACATCAATTGTAATTATAGGCTTTGTTACACCTACCTCTGGACCAACCCACACATGCACCGCAGAATCCGGCAAATTGAGCCTAGACCTCGACTCCTATTGTCTGAAAATCATGCAAATTCCAGATCCAAAATTATCTGGTTGGTGGTTGAGCCCTACCCCTCTGAAAAATATGAGTTCGTCAGTTGGGATGATGACATTCCCAATATATGGGAAAATAAAATTCATGTTGCAAACCACCAACCAGTTATCCAAAACTAGACCATTGAAACACATGTATACATATGTTTCAAATCATATGGTTCCCTCAGACTCCGGCTGAAAAACCAATGCCGCTGGCAGCCACTTCCAGCACCGGAAGCGCGCTGCCGTTCTGAATTCGGTGAATTGTGCACTGGCCACTGGAAGGGCCCAAAAGGTGCGAAAAACGGATGTGTCTTATCATGTCTTAAGATAATGCGTCCCAAAAGAAGATCTTAACAATGTCCGATAACCATCATTAACCATCATTAACCATGATTAACCATCATTAACCACTACGATAGTTTCAACGATTCAACCAGGATTTTCATGTGTGTGTGTGTCTATTAGTGTCTCTTTTTTTTCTAATCTGTTGGCCGGTGGAATCATGTGGTTCATCATGTGGATGGCGCAAGTTTACACATGTTCATGTCATGGTGTTGGGCGTTTCTGTATATGTCTGGGGGGTGAATTTTAACTTGTTGGCTTTGTCAGTTGAATCTCATTCTTTGGGATCAGACATGAGTTTATTTTTGCCTAAGTTGATTTGAGGATTCAAACATATAGGATGACACATAGTTTATCCCTAAGTCCATTTCTTGTAGTCATCATGCTCCCCATTTTCGCTACGCTACAAGGTGACGATAAGACCACTAAACATTAGTCATCACCATTGCAATCATCATTTTAGTCATCACTATACAGATTGTAATTCAACTGATGTCTCCTTTTAACCGATTAACCAATATATACCAATATATTAACCGCCATGAACCACCAATATTTATGGTGATGATTACAATTAATTGCAATATATGACAACAACAAAAAATACTACAGCAATCATATTACTAATCACAGCCCTATTATAGTAATAATATGTCCTAATATTATATTACACAATTATATGGTTAACCAACATTCACCAACAATAATAATAATCAACAAAATTATCGTGATAATTACAATTTATGACAATCATAGTGTTACACCATTATTAATATTATAACACCATATATTATAACATGATAATTACACCAAACATATTATAATATAACATGATAAAAAGTGGTATTATTATAACATGATAATATCATTATAACATGATAATTACACCATTGTTAACAACAATATTACTCCCTTTTTCTGCTTGGTGACCTCCACTCCTTGAAGTTTTTCACCGGGCGTCCGCCCTCTGCGTGCGCTGCGTGCGCTGCGTGCGCTGCGTGCGCTGCGCGCTAGCGCGCCCGGCGCTCACGAGGCCCACGGCTGTGCTTGCGGAGACTGAGGCCACGCTCGACACCTGCCGATGAAACGGGGGGTGGGAGGGACATGGAAAAATAAAGTGGGAGTTCTATGTGAGTTTATGATGGTCTTAATAGGATTCAATTGGTTTTACGATAGTTTATGATGGTTTATATAATCAATGGGAATTCCAGGATCCTAAAATGGAGGTACTGTACCATATGAGGCCATATCTTGCGGTGATATTCCCTTACATAGGCCTGAAAAATAGGCCTTATATATGGTAGGTACCTCCAATCAATCGGATCCTGAAATTCCCATTGATATACCCTCTGGTTATTTAACATAGCCATGGAAAATCACCATGTTTAATAGGTAAACCATCTATTTCTATGGACCATCTATACCATGGCTATGTTAAATAACTAACTAGAGGGTTTCCATAGCTATGTTAGTTTACCAAAGGGTAATGGCCATATTAACTGGGTACGTGGGTGTGTCTGAAAATGGTGCATCCTGTATCCCCAAAATACTCCAAAAATTGCATCTCAAAATTCAACAAAAATGACCATCAACATCTTCAACATATCCCAATTTGGGCTGGATATTTCATCAAAATGTCCATCATGCTCATATTATTTTTCAAAAATTCACCTGAAAAGTCCAGCTATTTGGAGATCCCCAATCCCCAGGGCACCAGGGCACCTGGGAGGCTGAGATGATCCAAATAGCGTGGCCTCTGGGCGACCCGACCCACCCGTTGCCACACTGCCACTGGCACCGACGGGATGAGAGTTGCCAATGGTTCAATGGTGATATGATGATAGTTGACATAAACTATGATGGTTCAATGGTTCAATGATGGTAATATGATGGTTCAACTATATCAATTAGTTGCCAACGGTTCAATTAGTTACCAATAGTTTATCTTACTGGTGCTAAATGCAGGGAATTTTCGGGAATGATCCATAATCACTAGTCATAATCATCAAAGCAACCCCCAGCAACCCATCCATTCCCGACGTTTAGCACCAGTGAGTTATATTGGCAAATGGAATCTAATTCTCAATTGATGATAGTTTATGATAGAGTTTATGATTGGATTTACCAAATATATGAGATGTGTGGGAGGAAAACCGAATTCCAACCATTATAGTGGCAAACTTAGTTTTTTAGTAAGTTACCATACACCAAAGTTGTCAAGAGGAACCCAGCATTTTTGTGCAAGTCACTGAGAGGCTTCTCGTGTCTAATCTCTTGGGTGCCAGTGGAATGGCTGGTCATGTCCAATACTACCGATGTTAATATGTTTGAGCCATAGCTGTCGATACAACATCTGGCTCATGTTCAATAAACCCCAAAGTTGGTTCGAGGCAAATTGGGGCAAAACATTGATTGATCTGAAATGAAGGATCTTAAGCAAAACATCAAGTATCCGTTCTCTGCTTGTTTAGTCTTAAATAAGACATTATTCAATGGAAGCCAGTCTACCATCAATCAGATCCGAGTAGAAACAACCACAACATGACATGAGAAAAAATAGGGAAAAAAACATCATTAATTGATAGTAATTCATAATCATTATAATGTCAACCCTGGATTAATAAACCCCAAACGGTTGTGAAATTGGGGGGATACTATTTAAGTATTAGATGAAATGACTATTTGGGGAGTACCCCCCTAATTTTCATAAACCATGGTTTAGCAAAATCCGGGGTTGACATTATATTACTGTCATCATTAATATTAGTGATACCTGTCTCCATGGATTCCATATGGATACCTGTGACTCCAGCCCTGCCCGGGCCTAATGCCCTTGAAGCTGTGCATCCGCCCGGCCGCGGTGGTTTCCGCCTGGCGGGAAACCGTGTGGCACGGAGAGATCCTGGTTGGTTCATGGTTAATAATGGTTAATAGTGGTTAATGATGGCTAATGGTGGTTAATTATTGGTTAATTATGACTGGTTGGTGGTATACTTAACCATCTTGAAACATGATGGAGTTAAAGTCAATGGGAAGGATGACATCCTTTTTTTATGAAATGGAACATAATCCATTCATGTTCCAAACCACCAACCAGCATCTGTTGGCACCGGAAAATTCAATGGAAAACCCTGGAAACCAACGGGTTGCATTGCAAATCCAGGAGTAAAATCATGGTAAATTCGGAGCATTTATAGGTTCCAATCATTGAATGTTAGGGCAGACTGCCAAAGGGATTGCAAGATCTCATGGATCTCGACGAGATGGAATTTCAGGCTGATACAACGAAAAAAAAAAAAACATCCGCTGAATAATCTAAATACAGATGCTGTTCCCATTTAAAGCTCATTTGTAGTTGATTTCACATGGCATTGCCGGAGGCTAACTCAAGAAATTTCCGATGTCCATGACCAAACCCACAACAGGATTTCTCTCGAAAAATGGCTACCGGATCAAACTCACCGAGCAAACATGGTGTGTGGAAATGCGAGAAACACCTTGAACCTTGAGATTGAACTTTTAACAGCAAAAATCATCAACCATATAGCATTATGATAATTGGCTGAATTATATCATTCAGTCACTCACCTGAAAATAACGGATTTGTTTGGCCATTTGGGGATGATTACCCTCTGGTTATGTCAAACATAGCTATTGAAAATGGCCCAGTCGAAATAGTGAGTTTTCCCAGCTACAAAATGGTGGATCTTTCCATAGTTCTGTGGCTGTTTACCAGGGTAAACCTCCATTTTCCTATGGTTTTCCTATGGTTTTCCCATTAAAACCAGAGGGTACCGTTTCTGACCACCATTCCAGTGCATTCCGTTGCTGACAACACATGGGATGCCCATGGCCTGCAAAGGCCAGTGTCGAGACAGTGTGGCATTCCTTGGCGAACACAAAGGACTGTCAGGAGTCTTGGGCAATGCCCAAGTAGATCTTAATCATTTTATATAACTTATTATGTATTATTATACAATCATTATGTGTATATATATATATATATATATCTGTGTGTGTGTGTTATTATACAATCCTTGTTGTGGCACTTGGCAATGTTCTAAACCTAACCAGCCAGAAATCATCATCCCAATCATCCCATAGCGCTTGACTCGACCCGAATCATGGGGTTATGTGCGATGACTCACAAGTTCCTACTCCATTCTATTGCCCTCCAAGATCTCCAAGTTTTGTTTCATTACCCTCCTACCTCCTGCAATGGAGCATATGGAGGAAATTGGCACTTACTGTAGATGGCTAATTGATGATGATTGTCATATTAATAGGGTAGCAAAGGGCAACATCCCAATTTTCTGGCGGAATGATCCAGGTTGATGTGGTAAGCCCAATGCTGACCATCCCAGTAACAAGCCCTTACATAGTAATTAGGGAGTCATTTTGAATAGATTAAATCACTCAAGAAAACGGGGCATGCCCAATTTCATAAACCCCAATCGGGCATGTTTTATTATCATACCCCTTCATCTTCATCTTCGATAGGTATATTGTAGTACTGTAGTCTTATCCCAGCAATATCCCATCTCAGATTGATGTTACCCCATTAGCGAAGTAAACCAAGGAAGAGAGTTGTATCTAGCTATACCCATTCTATCTCCATTGTAGTTGCTGATTATTACCCATCAAATCGGCTGTATCAACTCTAAATTCAGCACCCATCATGGGCATCTCAACTAGAAATCGGCATATCATATCATCCATTGATTGGGGATTTAATATTACCCAGTGAAGGGCTATCAATCACCCCATGGGAACTATATGGAACTACAATAAATCATGGAACTTATGGGCGCCCCATGGCTGATAGGATCCCCATTCCCACAAGAAACCCCCAATCCGCATGGGAAGATTCTGGGAATGAGGATCCCATCAGGTCCCTATACAGTCCATGATCCTTGCATGTTCTATATCGTCACCAAAAAAAGGGAGTAATCATAGCCATATGCGAACGATGGTGCTGGAATATGAATCCCAACATTTGCCCTTGTCCAAAATCACCCAGTTTTGTAGGTAAATATACCATACATGGAGCATATGGGATAGACCACCCATATCCCATATTTTTCCCACCCAAGAAATGGGCAGCTTAGCGAATTTGGACCTCGCTCCAGTCCAAGTCTCGGATTGTCCGAGAAGGACCTCCGGCGAATGGAGCTCCTGGCGAAGCAAGCGAGGGCCCCACCCAGGTTTTGGCAGAGCCCACTGCAGTGGTTGGTTCATGGAAGTTTTCCTGGCAAAAACATATCTATAAATGGTTTGATCATGGGACTAGAATGGGGATATTCATAGGGATATTTATAGGGATATGCTGGGGAATAGAAACAATAATATGTGTAGGAATATAGTATGGTATAATCACGGGGATAGGGGACTGTAATCAACAGTATGAGGACATTTTTTGGTATTTACCCAACGTGTCATTTCCAAACTATCAAAGGTAGTATGGACCCCGAATTGTTTGAGCGCTGCTCAATTGTCATTCAACCCATTTTGCCCGGGGGAAAAAAAAAGCATACATACGCATACAAATAATCATATCTATTTAATGCATGTCAATCTGAACACGAGCTAACCTCGTCTTGTTGGTGGCTTCAACTACCCCTTGAACAAAGATTCTAGTCACTATTTCTTATCGCCTTAGGCTTGACCTAAAAAAAAATAAGAAGAAATCATCCAGTATAAAGACGAGTTTTTCCATTGCCATGTTGATTCATACGAATCACACCTTAGATGATACCCTAAGATAAACTAACAATCAAATGTCCAAAAACCATAAATTTCACCAGTTTATCATCTACAAATACTGGATTTCCATAGATTTTCCCTAACATGTCCCAAAAATACCATACCCTCTGGTAATTTGTTACATAGCTATTGAAAATGGCAATAGAAATAGTGAGGTTTCCCAGCTACAAAATGGTGGATCTTTCCATAGTTATATATGTAAACGTTTACCATTTCAGGTAAACAGGTGTATAAAATATAAAAACCATGAATCCATATGAATTTTCATGGATTTTCATGGAGTTTCATGGGTTTTCCCTAACTTCACCAGGAAAATCGTCTCCTTGGGGATTTTTCCACATCTACCGTCCTCCTAGGCTCGCCGAGCCGCATGGATCGCATGCTTTGTCGCTTGGGGTCCACCTAAAAAGCTCAACGTGGGGGGAGTTGGTAGAAACCAATGGTAGTTATGGTAGTTGATGATTAATATTGGTATCATTGGTTTTTATACCATTTCTCAATGGTTCATATCATTATTGATATCACTGGTACCCTCCAGTAAATTAACATAGACCCTGGCAGATAGGGGTTGGAAGATTAGTTTCCACTAAAAATTGCTCATTTTCAGGGTCTATGTTTATTTACCATAGGGTAATAATCACCACAATAGTTAGGTGATAATATGGTAACTATCATATGGTAAGTGATAACCAATGTTACCAATTTTTGTGGTAGTTGATAATATCATTGGTTATATACTGGGTAATGCCATATTAAATGGTTGGTAGTAAATGATAATGATAATAATTGTTGGTAGTGATAATGATAATAGTTGGTAGTCAATTAATAATGAAATTTATGAGTAATTTAATAATGGTATTACCATATTATCAATTATTATCATTGGTTATCATGGTTATACCAGCGGTAATACCACTATTAAATTACTATTGTGGTTATGCGTTTTAAAAAACAAAAACAATATCATTACTATAAGGTCATGGTAATTGAGATATGTTGTCGATCATGTGATAGTCATGAAAACTAATAATGGCAATGCATGGCAATAAATTGTAGTGAAAATTGTAGTGAATGGCAGTACCCATCGGGAAAAACGGGGTTTATCAATGATTATCAATGGGATAAAACAACATGTATCTATAGCAACAACAATAACAGCAGCAATTCACGCGGATAACCTTGAACATAGCCTCCACCAAGTATCATAGCGAGCTGGTTTCACCCCCCTGAAAACAAAAATCGTGGTCAACGGGGATCACCTTCCCAAACAAGGATGAACATGGTTTTCTAGACATATTTGAAGCCACCAAGCGTGGTTGTTGGTTAATGTCAACCCTGGATTAATAAACCCCAAACGGACTGTTTAATTGGGGGGATACTATTTAAGTATCAGATGAAATGACTATTTGGGGAGTACCCGCCTAATTTTCATAAACCATGGTTTATTAATCCGGGGTTGACATTAGAGCATAACTATACCCAAAATATAATTATTGTTGGCTTCATCCCCATTCAATACTGGCTATAGTGGTTCAATGGTTCTTCCTTTAGATGCCCCTTCTCCAATCGCCTACCTGCGGCTGCCGCGCGCTGCAAAGCAGCGCTTCCTGCAGGTCAGAAAGGAATCAAACGGGTCACGCTCATACTAATAGATATTAATAGCATATTAATGAGCTAATAATGGGATATTATCAATATCATAATCATGGTTTGGTGAATGAGTACCTCCTGTGTTTCATTTTTTTTCATATCAAGAAGCACATGCAGGATTATGAAGCATTGCTCTCTGGCAATCAAAGATGGCAATGGAACACGCCCACATTTATCTGGTTGGTGGTATACCTACCCCTCTGAAAAATATGAGTCAGTTGGGATGATTATGCCCAATATATGGAAAAATAACATTCATGTGCCAAACCACCAATCAGTATATATCTCATTAACCAGTATTAACCAGTATTAACCACCATCATTAACCATTATTAACCACCATTAACCACCATTATGGCTGTTTCCCATTTGAAATGCCCATTTGCTACGCAGATTCCCCCAGCCATGGCCATGATGACGATCTCTCGCTGCCCACCTCGGAGCGTTCGCTCAACGCCACCTCCCAAAGGGCGAATTGGATTGCAGGGGGTTTCACAGAGAGAGATACTCACAATATGTTGGAGAATATGGCATTATACCAATGGTAATACTCACAATGGTAATGCCATTATTGGATGGCATCCCAATATGTTGGAGATTCTCCATGTATGGTATATTTACCAACAAAACTGGGTGATTTTGGACAGGGGCAAATGTTGGGATTCATATTCCAGCACCATGGTTCGCATATGGGAATATGTTGGAGATTCTCACAAATCACAATCCAATATGGGAAATCCATCCTATGATAGTTATAATAGCTGAATGGCTCACTGAAAAAATGGAGTGGTACCTACCCCAAAATTAACCACCAAACGTAACATTTTTCATTTTCTCATTGTAGCCTTCCCGTTGGGAGATCCTCTGGCCGGAACCTCCGGGCGCCAAAGCCACGGGGACACTTAACGGGTTCCAACTTAGGCTCCACATTGACCCAACGGGGGACGCACTGGCTCGAGGACTTCGACCCAACAGGGGAAGCTCCGGACGGGGCCTCTGGGCCAAAGCCACGGGGCAACTTACCGGGTTACAAGATAGATTCCACGTTACCCCAGCGCGAGACACTTGCACGAGGACTTCGACCCAACAGGGGAAGCTCCGGACGGGGCGTCCGGGCGCCAAAGCCAAGGGGGCCACTTACCGGATTCCAAGTTAGTTTCCACGTTACCCCCGGGAGACACTTGCTCGAGGACTTCGACCCAACAGGGGAAGCCGTTCCGTCTCCCGTTGGGTCAACGTCGAATTTAATCTGTAACCTGGTAAGTGTCCCGGCCCGGGGGCCCCGCCAATACCCAGTGCAAAGCAATAAATGTAGGTGTCCAATCTGAAAGTCAGGCTCTCGGTCATTGTCTCAAACATACGCTTCCATTGGGGGCCCAATGGGCCCAAAATGGCTGCATCCGTGTGAGTAAGCGGTTGGGAATACTCGTTACTAGGGTATGTCCCACACACGAATGGGTTCCAATAGTGTTCTTACTCACTTGGTAGCTTGGATGGGCTGAAAACCTCTAAGCAGTGAAGTTTATGTCCTAACAACCAGTTTAACCATGGACATACGATATGAGAAGGTTGAAATGGTCATGGTTAATCAGCTTGTTAGGACATAAAGTAATGGTAACAGCTTCTAATCCATGATAATTTTAAAGTTTCAGGTCAAAACACCTGTTTCAATGTTAACCACCCACTGGGCAAATAACCTTCCGAACATGTTCCAGAATTTCCAAACTCTTCCCGGTTCCAGCAGGTTTCAAAACCGCCTGCGCACCAATAAGTTAATTTCAGAATCTAACTCTACCCATAGCAATAGGATTGATAGGATTTCTTTGACTTATCATGTTTTTAGATCCATATATATATATATATTTATTTATATTTATATTATTCTATGATATCCATATCTTTCACCCTGAGGTTCGGTATCTATCATGCTCTCATGAAAATCATGGGAACATATCCAGGATCATTTGGATGTCAGGAACTGATGATTCTCCCGTTTTCTTGCGACCTGGCTGAGCAAGCTTTGGGCCATGGCACATCATGGCACATGTCCCGATTTTCTATCCAATTCTACTGGTTGGTTCAGAAGAAAATAAAGTCTCAGAATAGTAATAAAGTGTGTGTGTGTGTGTGTTGACATGTAACTGCTATCCAATGAACCATGAACCAACCTATCAGTTGTCAACTGTATCCTAGTTGTGGTGCAAAAAACAAACATTTGATAGCTAGACTACCCTCTGGTAAACCAACATAACTATGGAAAATCACCATGTTCACTGGGTAAATCCACTATAAATAGCCATTTTCAATAGCTATAACTTGACATAACCAGAGGGTAAACCTCCATTTTCCTATGGTTTTCCCAAGGTTTTCCCATTAAAACCTCCATTTTCCAATGGGTTTTCCTACGCCCCCGAGTCGCCACAGCTGTCGCCACAGGGCCGACCTTGGGGCTGTGCTCGCTCAAGTCGCTCGCCGTTCGGACCGTTTTCCTGGGCGCAACGCTGCCAGGAATCGTCCGCTCATGGCGAATCGTAAAAGGAGGTGGTAAGTTGGTTTATAGGAAGGTTTATGAACCCCATTAACTATAGCTATATCATTGCTATGTCTATCAAACATCCATAAACATCCATAAACATCCATAAACCATAGAATTTACCTGCTATAAACCAACTTAACGATCGAAACTGTGGGCCCCATCAAAGGTAGTCCTTTTGGGAAGCCATCTTGGGGGTATTTAGGACCTGACCCACAACTAGCGATGGATAATGATGGATGTCTAGCTGATTTGAATATTAAACACTTCACTAATGTACGATATAACAATGGTTTCTGGCATTGTACTATATAGTTATAGTATATATTTGTACAAACAGTGTTCTACAGTTCTACATGTCCTAGTTTCTGGCAAAGATTCAAGCCCTAAACTACCCACCCAATTATATATGGGGATTCAATCAGCCCCCTGAGGTCTGTGACCTTCCAATTTTAGTGTCAGATTTGTTCCCATAAACACTTGATTCTTGGTGATGAAGCTTCGCCCGAGAGCAAAACCAACCATTGATGGGCATCCCATTACACTCCATTGTTTTATCAAATGCGTGGTATGTTCTAACTGCCACCATTTCTGCTGGTTGAATTTTCCATTTACATTATCCGATTATAGATATTATAGCCGATTCTTTTACAGATAGCTGACTCTCCACCCAGGTGTACCAGTTTCCAACACCCACAACCAATGCCGCCAGCGTCGGGCTCAAGGTATCGGAGGCCTCTTGCTGAAAACTACCAGGTGCCCCAGGTGCTTACCTATGTTGGTTTATAAGTCGATGAACTGTCGGGTTGATGGTGGAGATATGTGGTATCTACAGTACACTGGGTTTAAAGACCAGCAAACATAACTGGGGAACCACCTCGTATGAGGGGTTAGGAGGTGATCAGAATCATGGGATGAGGCCCTGGGGATTTGTTTTTCAGAAACTCTCATATAGTTTGATGGGAACAACATGGAACAACCGTGGCGTCCTGTTTCCGGTAGATTTTCCCTTAGATGAGTTTAAAGAACTGCAACTTAGAATTCCTTGCGAACATGAACATATCATAGCTTTGTAAGCAGTCAATTGATGATATTAGCCAACAATAAGATATAATATAGGCAATCTCAGATGGTTTGACCGTTGAAATATGTGGTTAATCAACATGTGATAAAAATGGTGGTTCAACCCTAAACAAAAGACCCAAACACTTCAGCGTTGGTCAACAAAACACAATTCAACCAGCCAAAATGGAAATCACTGATCTCGTGGGGAGCTTTGGAAGCCCCTATGCAATTCAGCATTGCCGTTGCTACACGCTAGGGCATGATTTCCTTACAGACTTGCCTCATCTTGTTCTAGTATTGCGCTCAAATTAAGGATGACAGCCGGGGCCTATCCAAAAATAGAGCCGAAGCCAAACATGGGGCAACCAGTGGAAAACTCCAGTTATTGTTCCACCCCTGATTCTCAATATATATCAACATTATATTGGCTCTATATCCTCATGTCATCTCATTTTAGCATAGAGAGGAAAAAAAAACTATATCTTAAGGCACCATTGTTGATGGTTAGCCTCTGGTAATCAATCACGGCAAGAGACAATTCCCCGTTGATATTCGATATAGGATTTTCTCGTTAAAACCTCATGTGTAGAGGATTTCCACTTGCCCCGTGTGATTTCCAGAGGTAACATCCATCAATGATCCATGAAAAATCCCATGATTCTCCTTATGAAACCATCTAAAACCAGATTAAACCATGGTTCCCGAAGGGTTCACTGCCTCATGCGGCTACAATTTGTTTTGTCTAAAGCCTCCACGCCCCAAGGAGACCTTCGGTGGGGGCGAGGGATAGCCACGCATCTCCAAGGTATCCTGTGAGTGAATGGGAATGGGAATGGGGATAGCATGGTGCATATGGGGCAGATTTGGGGATACTAAAGTTAGCTTCTTCGGCTTATTCCAAGGTGGAACCGTTCCATGTCACTCTGGGGGGAATGCTCATAGCCGACTTGCGACGGAGGGTCGCCAAAAAGAACGGAGCTGGCGGCTTCGGCTGCGCAGGGAACAGTGATTCCGATTATCAGGCAACTTACAGTAAATTCACTTTCAAATCAAACTAAATTCAATTTCAAGTAAATCAGTTGAAATTATGTTCAATTCAAATAAGTGCATATAATGCACAATTCAAATTAGCCTAAATTCAGTTCAAACGCAGTTCAAATGAAACACATGCAAGCCAAGCCGAAGGCAACTGTGTCAAAATCATATCCATCTTCATTTCCAAACAGCCCATTACTGTACTTGATATAATAACGAAAAAGAAGAACAACAAGCTATTATATGCGCATCATTACAACATTTCCCGATAGACGACCTTTTGAAAGTGCTTGTTTGCGTCCCAAGCAGTTGTATAAAGAAAAATGCAAACCAAAAACAAGAGAATATATTGCCTACGCAGCGAACACAATTAACATTCCAAAGGTTCGTTTACGGCAAAAGATCTGCGCGGCGGAGGGGGTGATTGAACCCAATCGGCAGGGGGTGCCACCCTCCCCCCTTTCTTCAGATATAAAACTCAAGGGGGTAGCCCCGCAGGAGCCACCTTTCCTCATATGGACGTAGTTACCCATATTCACTTATTAAGGCTCCCGTACTCATCACTAAAAGCACGACCAGCTCAGAACTGCCATGTGGCCATCGTCCTACTTGGTACCCGGTGGTGACCAAACATCGCTATGTGAAACCTCAATTGTCTATGCTACAGTAACATCTATATATATATACACAAACAAGCAAATACCCCGTGGCAATTTTGAATAGGGATAATTAATCATAGTTATATTTGTTTTTTATTGACCAGTGAATGGAATGCTGGTTTTTAATTTTCAGACAAACCAATCTTTGTGTGATTCATCCAATTATATTTCATTCAATTTCCATTACATCCACATTATTCATTATTTCCAATTATTCTATGTTGAATGGTCCATTTTTGTTTGACTCATCCCCCCTCATGGTCGGGACCATGTCTCTGTCGGAGGCTTCCTACAATGGGGGATCCAAGTCACCATGGTGGTTTAAATACTATGAACTGGTCTAATGACTTGGATGATTTGGGGTATAGCCCATATTTTAGGAAACTTTCCACTTCCCTATGACAACCTATTATAATTACATAATTCCCCTTAAAATCCCATTTCGATCACATTTCAATACGATTCAAGACCTCACCAGAAGTCACCACTAAATACCATCACCAGTCATAACCCCGAATAAATATCACACATAAGTACCACAACATGTTTTTTTTCAAGTCCACGACCGAACGGCTATTGCTGTTAGGATAGGGAAAAAATGGCCACAGCTGGTGCCACAATCCCACGGGCCCTCGCCTTGGATATGTCCATATGGATAGTTCATAACCCCAAACAAATCACACATAAATACCACCACATAAATACCACAACATATACGGTATATATATATATACAGATTACATATATATATATATATATATGTAAATATATGTATGTATTATATATATATGCCATATATACCAGGCACATCCATAAATCACCACGATTTATCCCCCGGTTTGTACCAGTTACATCCCCATTTCCCGCTGCCACTCCTGCAGCTCGCCCATGTCACCTGAGAAACACCATAGCGAGCCATGGGGTCACTGGTTACACCGAATTTCATGGAAAAAAATGGTGATACAACAGTGATACAATGGGAAATAGTGGGATTATACTGGGAAATATCATGAAATAATGATATGTCACTTTTCCAGACACCTCTTGTATCCTCCCTTAATGTGTCATATAGCTATGCCCATTTAGTTTGATAATCTGTGCCTATCGTTTTAATGGTGCCGTTCAGCATCCACAAATGCCTGGTAATGTTTAAATCTCAAATCACGCTGTGTCAGCGTCGTGTATGAAATTCATAATCATTCTACCATATACATTACCCAAATTCACCAACGCCTCGCATTTCTGTGTTCACCTACTGTGACAAGGCCATTTCACAATAAACAACATAAAACAACTACAATTTGGATTTCACATGATTTAGGCCAACATTTCCCCACCATTTCTGTATCATTTGACCTTCCAACCCCGGATGTTTTCACACGGCGTCTTCCAGCATGGACTCTTCTTAAGTCCCAGGTGTAGCAGGTACGCATTGGCGGAACACAGCCCCAGCACACTTTTTGAAACTGTTGGGTGACAACACATGTTCAACACAACCCGTTGTTTTTGAAATGTGGTTGCCCATCTAACATCATCCAATCATATTGTTTCATCACGGTAACCCCTAGTTAACGTACTCGTAAACCAAGTTAGAAAACTGTGGCGCAACACCTCGCAACCTCAACTTTAAGGGTTTCCTGAATATTGTGCTGCAACCGCTTCTGGGCATACAGAGTTCGCCCGCTGTGTATTTGAGAACCTGTCGGTTGTGTGGGGCACAGAGCCCCACTATGTTTTTCCGCTACATATCAAACATGTCTTTATTTACCACATTAGAACTATATGGTTCCGGCAGAATTTTGATCACAGCTACCAATGTTACCAATGACGGGTGGGTTCGTCCTCTGCCAAAGGTGGCTGAGATCTTTGAGAAAATGCACGGCTGCGTGACCGATCATATTTGTTGGCTAGCATATGTGATATTGTATCTATCTATCTATATATATGTGTGTGTGTTTATATTTATTATTATTAATATTATTATTATTATTATTATTTTTATTATGTATATATATCTCTCTCTCTATCTCTCTCAGACTCTCTCAGGCTCTCTCAGACTCTCTCTCTCTCTCTCTCCCTCCCCACTATATTCCCATTATATTATATCCAAATGAAATTTTCATTTTTGAGGCTTAAATCCTTATGTTATGATTCCAAGCCATGGATGCTTGCGAGTATTGAAAGCATGAATGATTGCAAAGCCTGGGAGCAAAGGCCCCTGGTGAGTCATCAAGGCGAAAAGTGGGCTGGGTCCTCTATATCTTTCATCCTTCGGCACACACACGCATGGCCACTGGAAACTGTTCATGAATAATGTTAGAAAGCATGTATCAAGGCTCTGCATGAATATAGGAGCCAATACACATGGGAACCAAACGCTGGAAATGAACATAAACATTAAACAAGGAGAAACACATGTATACAGAATACATGCAGCAAGAAACAAAAAACACACACACACACACACGTAATTTTAAATGCATGTATATATCCCTACGGCTCCAACGTGTGCAAATATGATCAACATTCGACAATGTTAGCTCCAGATGCCTACATGCCACCCGATTTTGCCAATGTAAGCACCAGGGGCCTACATCCAAAATCCGATTTTTTTGTCAGATAAGCATGTTCGAAGAAAACACCTACAAAAGTTCCACCAAGGTAGTTCAAAGCACCTTTTTTTTCTACCGAGCACGGACTGATTGGCCAGCCACCTTTAAACCCAGCAAAATTCTGCCCATAACCCGAAGCTCCATTAAGCTTCGATGGGTTTTTTTGCAAATGGATTTGACTGAGCCCATTGCATCCTCATCCATGTATCCATGAAACGTTCGCGCATTGAGGCGCGTGATGAGCATTTCCAAACATATTTCTTGGTATGCCTTGCGTGCTGACAAAACATTGCGCAACAAAATTCAAACTAAACTACATTCCCCACCACCAACAGGATCCAACATGTTAAAGATGCAAAAGATGCTCAACAAACTGCAGGAACATGTGTTTTTGGACGTAGCGGTAAGCACAGCCTTTGTTTCTCCACGAAGGCTTGTGCAGCACATCTGTAGTACTCCAGAAACCTTGCCAAAAGTGATTTGCCAAAGCTAAATTTTTTTTTGGGTTGTTGGTTCATCCCCATTCATCTAGGCATATTGTCATGTACAGGTAGCTAGGCAAGAAACTGGTTGCCCTCAGTCCACAGCCATTGCGCATCCTCACCACTAAGGTATCGCCCACACCCCTCAAGTTTCAGCATCCAAATTGATATTGAATTCATAGTTGCCGTAGTCAGAAGGAGTTCCGGTGGTCGCTGATCAAGTGCTAATGACCCCACCAAAGCATTCAAACAGGTAGTCAAAAAAGCAGTCATAATTCGGCTGTTCCAAGCCTTCAACCGCAGCTCCCAAAACTCCCCTTGCGTCCGATGGAGCAAGCCGCTGGTGATGTACGGCTGGGTGTGCCTTTCAGGGTTGTCAAGGCCCAGGTATATTGTATAATATAGTTTATCATGATGTATATCAACATGTTAATTCACCATGAGTACCCTACATTTATTAGGTAACAATTTGGGTGAATGCTGGTAAATGTTCCTATAGAATTGGGGTTAGAAAAGCATTAACTTGAAACATCCCGGTATATATACACACATGTATATAAGACATATTTGGGAGCCACTTGCAAGGCCTGATTCCCTGCACACTGCACCACCTTCGAAAACGGAGGGTCAAAATTTCAAGCATGTCTTTGATCGACATTCTTGGGGAACCAAACCATCCATGCTCATGCAGCAACATCAAACTCGCTGCGTTGAGAAAATGTAGTAGCCCAAGATGAAGTACATGCATCAAGCAAAACTTCACCATGCTGGGCATCCAGCCGAACACGAAGGAAATGGGGCAAATGTATCGGTTCCTGCATTTTCACAACAACCCCAATCGTCAAAATTATGCAAACAAATTCTAAAGGTCATTTGTCTGGGAAACAAATCCAAAAACTGTTGTGTAACCAGACGAGGGTCAAGGCAACTGTAAAGAACTCACCAGTACTCAGCCGAGGGATGTTCAAAAAGTTTGCAAAACGTGAGAACCTTGCCATTTCTTGGTGAGAGTGGGGCTCCAAATAATCTCAAGCAAAAACACGTTAAAGAAGTGTCCAGGGAACCAATCCTAATATATATGTATATATAACACAATGTTTTCTGAACAAACAACAAGGAACTGGTGTTCTCCCCTTGCCGAGGCTTTGCAACGAAAACAGATACCAGTGCCAATTTTGCGGCAAGCATAATTATTCTTCAAATTCCACATCTCTTTGTGCCACTTCCAGTCCCCCCGCAGTTCGACCAAGCAGTGAGGACCACCACTAATCCTTCGCCCAGAAAAAGTAGCAAACCGGCCATGAAGTTTGTTGCCGTCCCAATCGACGCTTGGAAAAACACCATGGTATGCAACCTAAGCTGCATGCAAGCTCCCTTTCTTCAAACATAAAATTTGTGCATGTTTTTTTCTTGCTAAAATCTCTTGTTCCAGTACTACTTGAAAATAGAACAACCCAAAAGTACATTAAGGATTTGAGAAACGTTAAGGCTCCATGCTGAGCACGAAAAAGTGGATCGATCGTTGATGTGCCAAGACTCAGCTCAACCCGGAGGCAAAAGAGCAGGAAGCGAGTGCTAGGCAGTCCTCAATTTGGACCGAAAGTATATCAGATAGCTAGCTAAATCATTTGGCACAAAACTTTTAAGGTACTACACATCCAAAAATGGAAAAATAATGCTTTGCTAATAATGAATTGAGAGTCTGGTTTTGGGGTCCAAGATTTGGTTGAGAAGCACGCAAATAATCTTTGACCCTGCTAAGGACCACCGCGCGTCGTCCCCAAAAAGCCCAATTGGACTGTGGTTCCCATCATCTGCTGCCTCATGATGCGTACAAAATTTCTTCCAGTGAGCCCAGTACTCCTTGATGGAAGACTTTGGGATAACAACTTTCTGAGTGTCCTGGGTGGCTGGTGGGAAACCTTTACCATATTAAATATAACGGAGCTAATATTGCGCAATGTTAATCATATAATATATATATATGCACACGTGGAGCACGTTGAGCTGTAGGATTCTGAAACAACCCTGAAAAGATTCTAACAGTGCAAGAAAGCTTCAGCAAGGTAATGCAGCATTTCGTGGGCCAAGACAAATGGGATTTGCATTGTTGTACGGTGCTTTGGTTTCTTCAAATCTTTCACGGGCACCTCTATCCAGTGTAAGTCCTCAATCTTTGTTTCTCAAGTAGTAGAAACAAAACACATTCTCCCCAACATTCCCAATAACAAACCCGAAGAAAAAACTACATATATATATAAAACACTAAAATTGCTTTACTCCTGAGAATCTAAGGGTAACTCCAGTGCCCTCATGAGGTCGCGTTCGATGTTCTGGGGGTGCTTCCCTCCACCACCAGTTCGTGCGATTCGTTTTGTTAGATCGCCTTATGAAGTGTTGGTGGGAAGAAAGGAAACCCATGTTTTTCTTTCAACCTAATAGGGCTCCCAATGTAATAGCTTCTGGGAAACCAACATATAAAATAAAATGACCCCCCTGTAAGTCTTATGTTTTGGCTGCCATTCTCATGTGTCCATATCTTAGGTACACCAATTAAGCAACAATAGGAAAAAGCTTGGGAATTCCCAGTGGCTGCAGTTTCCACCTGATTCAATCACCACGCTTGCAGCGGCTTCTTGCAGTTCCTTGCAACTGCTCGCCCCTCGTCCTAGAGATCCCAAAAGATGGGAAGCGAAGGCTGGCTCGAAGCATCCATCACCTGCGATGGGTTTCAAACGCACATGGGCCATGACTAGATACCCATATATTATATGATCCATGTATGGAATATGTACCTAAGTAAAAATTTTGGTGAATGCTGGTAAATATGCCATACATGGAGAATTGGGGATATGACACAGCTCATGGGTGGACCTTGAAAGGAGGTGTGGTTCGCACATTGTCTTTCATTCCCATTTGAAAAATGAAGCTTCCAAAATAGAAGGATTCAAGCATCTACTAACTACTAACTTCAGAGTTGATCCCAATACAGCATGGACCTCAGGCACATTCAATAAGACTATTTTTTTTGGCACTCGAGCTCAACTCTTGCAATGGTCAACACTGCAAACCCCCGATGGTCAATCGAGCGCATCATTTCACGGGATTGCATGGCTTATGGAAGCCCCACCCATGGAGGTGTCAACAAAGTTGCGATGCAGGTTGGAGCGGTGAGTTTATATATATATAGCCCGCAAATGGACATGTTTTGTAAACATCAATGGACATCATATCATGAAAATCAAAAAAACCTTCAAGAGCCCTAAGGGCAAACCAAGCCATGGAAAACTCCATACCTACGGCTCCGGCGGAGTGGCCGCAGACTTAGCAGAAGCCTTTGGCTTCGCCTTTGGGGCATGCTTCTTGCAATGCCCCGCAGCTTTCTTGTAGTCGGAAATCCGCTGTGCCAAGGTTTGGTTCACAGTCAGTAGGCTATCACCTTCTTGTCCAGCGGCAATTGCGGCCTCAATTGGTGATGTTAAGATTCTCGTGTGGTTCCACCCTATAATAGGAACACTTACAAAATCAGTAAAGAACAAATGAGACCCCCGACTTCGACGTCGCCACGGGCTTGTTCCAACCCACCCAAGTGGCCCGCCATGTCACGAACCAAAGCCGTGATCAGATCCTGCGGCCTCATATATGAACGTAGCATGACCAGAACATATCTAATTTATTTGTTTTCATGATGATATATTTTAATATGTGTGTATATAAAGATCTGGATAAATGAGATTCGGACGTGTTGCTGGACTTCAGCTTCGATTCCCAAGATTTGCACTCAAGGATCAAGTCAGCGGCAGTCTTCATAGCCTCAAGCGCAGTCAGGAACACAATGATATCTAAATTCATAGTATAGGATTATCATTCGAAAAAAACAATATATATATATATATATACATATATATATATCCCGCTATATATATATATGCTCCATAAATACACAAATATATATATATATATTATATATATATGGAATATATATGGAATATATGTTCTTACATCTCGGTCACTTAGGGGGTAAGTGTTAATAAATTTGGAGCATTGGGGATATATATATATATAGAACCCAGCTCAAAGTTTACAGAATTGGACATGGCACTGAACGGGACTCTTGCTCCGGGGTCTTTGTCTTTGGTTTCCCATTCTGATCACCTTCCTTGGCCTCACCACCACCCTTCTTGCCCTTGGGCTTGGCCTTGGCCTTTGGCTTTCCCTTCTCTCCATTCCCAGTTTGCCCATCATCCACGACACCCTTCCCCTTCCCAGCCCCCTTTGGATCTCCCGGGGCTGCTACCATGGGGAGGTTACCAGCTGAGAAAGCACTGGCATCGGTGTTTCGGATAGCCCCCGAAGAAGATGACGCCACAGCCGAAGAATTTCGATTGGTGTCAGTACTCGTTGTAGAATCCCAACACCAATAGAGCATGAGGTGCGGCTCCTACAGTAGCTTCCAAAACAACACATCTAAATGGGTGAAATTACCATTTGATTCATAAAAAAAATGGTATCCCAATAATTGGATTGTTAACACTAAAATAAAATTAGGTCTATGGTCCCCCAGGTATTTAATTTTGATTCATACCCATATATATATATACATATGAAATAGTTCCCTGTATTTGGGTCACCTAGGAGGTAAATGTTGGTAAACATGCCATACGATGGTATTTCTGATGCATTTCCCTATGAGGCCAAACAATGGCGGGATCGAGCCTTGCGTCCCGGAAAGTCCGGGTTCTCAGCAGTCATCCCCTCAGCAACCTGGCCAGGTCTGTGAGAGTTTTTGAAAATGTTATGTGTATATATATATATATTTTTTGTTTAATGGTCAACCAGAATGCATTGCATTGTGTTGTTTTTTTTATGATATGTTTATACATTGTAGATCCGAAGCAAATCCCACGGCCGAAGCACCTTGCGTTCGATGAGATCATCCACCAACGTCGTATCGGTGTATTTCATATCCAGTTCCTCAGGCGTTGTGAGTTGTAGATGTTGGTAACCCATTCACCCTTAAGAATCTTGTGTGACATCAAAAAGATATCCCTCACTCCACATTTAGAATTGTTTCTTAGAGATTCTTTCACGATTTGTGAGATCTGTTGTTCCATCTCTTTCGAGTGGCTGCTTTGCTCATAAGTTTCCACTGGCCCTGCAACGCATTCTCTCTCTCATTCCGGGCAGTGACAACCAAACTTGACTTCAGCCAATCTTGGTCAGCTTGGAGCCACTCTTCAAAGAGTTGCGTCCAAGCTTTTGGATCTCGACCTCATGTGAGATGCAACAACATATAAATGTGGTAATATCTCAAAATGAGGTGATATCTCAAAATGAGGTGTACCATTTCTTCTTTAAAGAAACCTTTTTGGTACCAAAAAGGGACAGCTCATTTTGATACATCCCCATGCCATGGCCATATTATATATATATATGCATGTAAACAACCTACATAGCATGTACATACATGTGCATCATTTATACATATGCGATTGCGTGTGTGCGTAACGCTAGAGTCTAAGGGTTAGGCTGCCAGCAAGTTCCCTTTGCTTTGCCACCACTTCTGGTGGTGCATATTTGCCTCAGATGTTGAAAAAAAAAACCCATGGACCCAATGCGGTGGGGCAGAGCTGTTATAAATAAGACACGCGCAAAAAAAATGAATTTAATTTTGCTAGGGTGCTTCTGATGCTGCGATGAAACTTCCCCTTGATTGCGCGGATCCTTTTCTGGGCTGCTGTTGCTTTGTCTTCTGCTGTCTCTGCTGTGTCATTGGGCCGCTGGCTTGGGGTCACTGCAGGTGCATTCGGCGGCTGGGCTGCTGGCGTTGCTGCTGCAGCTGTCGGCTCTACCTTTGGCAAAACTTTGGGATCTTTCGGCTCCAGCTGAGTGGTGACTTCGGGTGCTGTGCCTGGTGACTTCTGAAGGTCAACAGTTGTTGCGCGCAACAATGTTGCACGCACATTGTCAACACTTGCTGTTGGCACTGCTGGCGGTGTCTTCTGTGCAGGTTGGGTCTCAGTGGGTTTGCTCTGTGGAATTTCTGCAGGTGGTGATTCCACTGTTGGGTGTGTTTCCCCAAGGATGAGTGTGGGCAGGCGGCAAATCCCTCCAGGATCTCGAGGGTCAGGTGAGTCAGGTGCGTAGAGCTGTTCATCTAACCACATTAGCCAGTTCACCGCATCTTCAACCTCATCCTCTGGATCCGTTGGCTTTGACATTTTGAAGTATGTTTCAAAATATGGGTGGGCCACACTTTCTTTCACCAAAGTCTCGTACTGCAATTCATCCATTTTCATTATCTTTGCTCGGACCTGTTCCCTTCTGGAAAGTGCCTCTGGCTTTGGGGTCTCAGCAGGCTTTGGGGTCTCAGCAGGCTTTGGGGTCTCAGCAGGGGTCTCAGCAGGCTTCGGGGTTTCAGCAGGCGACATCGGATCATCAGGTTTTGCTGCAGGAGCTGCACTGGGAGCAGGTGTGGGAGCGTTGCTGCTGGGTTCAGGTGCAGGTGGCATGGGCTCGTCAGGCTGTGTGTCTGCCCCAGGACTGTCAAGAGCCGTGGTTGCAGGTGTCGCTGTTGCACTGGGGGCGGAGGCAGTCGGTGGGGTGATGTTCTCAGCTGGCTTCGCTGCTTCAGGGCTGACAACATATTTTGACCAAAACTGTCTCAGCTTTGCACTGGTTTGACCATTGTTTTCACTCCCATCTGCGTTCTTCACATATTCTACGGTTGTTTTGCTAGGGGCTGGAATGGTGGCATCCGTGCGGCAAGGTGTTGCAACAGGAGCTGGGCGTTCCATGGAAACCTCTGCGTGTGTGCCACCTACGCTTGCAGGTTTGGTCTCAGTGTTTGTGGTTTCTGCTGGTGCCGTGTGCCGCTTGGCTTCTGCTTCTGCAATCAGATGCTTTATGAACGCAAGTTGTGAAGGGTCCATCGACTCAAAAGCAGCCACCTGAAAACAAACACCAAATAATGAGTATCACAGCTCTGACTTCACTCAATGTGATTCTATCGTTTTATTTACTTTCTGAAAACATGTTCGGGTTTCCCACACTGGTTGGATTGACCAAGGCCGGACAGATCGAAGGATTCGATGGGGCTGGCACCATGCCTTCGGCAGTTGGCTCCTCAAGCATCGGAAGACGGTGTGCAGGTGAAAGGTTGCATGGCGGCATCAAACAATATCAACCAATATATTTCACCCAAAACAATGCTCAATAGATCCTCCATGGGGAGTGTATCCAGTAGATCTGGGCAGGTAGTCGAGGAAGACAAAGGTTTTCCAACATCGTCACCTACAGGGGATTTTGAAAAACACATAAGTTTCTATTGTAGACATATATATATATATATGATTGCACCACATCATAATGCCATTACATTCCAAAATGATCCATGATTAGAACATCACTTAGGAGGTAAATGTTGGTAAACACATATTCCAATAATAGCATTGGGACATTGTAGAAAGCCTGCAGTGCTGGTAGCTGCAACCCCTTCATCGGCAGCTTGATCAAAACTCATGGCAAGACTTTTTGGGGCAACAGAAGAAGAAGTTGTAGTCAAACTCACGCTCGATGTACTCCGGGCGATCTTGGGCTCCGGGGTAACCTTCTGTGATGGAGGCGCCTGCCGGCAACCAGAAAAAACTAATACATATTTTGTAATGTCAACCCTGGATTAATAAACCCCCAGGCTGTTTAATTCGGGGGGATATCATTTAAGTATTAGATTATCACTACTTACAATAAT